CAACGCATTAGTTTACATTCATTTCAAATTCTGAGGGTTATCTTTGCAAACCTAAGGCCTAGATAGCTTTTTTTTTTTTTTTAAGAAGAATAAAAAATTTAAAAATAACCTGAAATTGTGTGGCAATTTATGCAGCCATGTAATCTGATATACAGGGTTCTGGTCATAGCAAATGAAGCAGTTTGTCATTTTTAGGTAAAAATGAGTTACAATGTAGCATAATTAGCAATGAATGGTTGTGTACTAGGGTAAAGAACCAAATCCTTCTTAACTGCTTGCTTGTGAGGAAATATTGTAAAATGAAGCTACGTTCTGGAAGATGTGTTTTGCATAGAGGAAAGCAGAGAGAATTTAGAAGAGTGAAATTATTGATTATTATTCTGTATTATCTCCATCTAGAATATATACACACACACACACACACACACACATTGTATATTTAATCATCAACATAAAAACAAGATGTTTCCAGCTCCTGGCACTGAATGCTTATCCACTCACTTGAAAAATAAGCAATATTTTTTCTGGTTTGTACATCAACCTCCAATATGAGGTTCTGGAGTCAAAACTCAGCTGGTTATTTCATGGATGATAAATTCAAGTTGGAAGACTAAGAACAAATCAACAGTATAAAAGCGTCCCTGAGAACACTTTAATGAAACTGTGTTCTGCTAGAGTTCATGGTGTTCAAAATTTACATGATTATTTGACCTAATATATTTATTTGCAATTACCAGGAGAGGGGCTGTTAACTTGGAGGAAGAGAAAAAAATAAAAGTGATATCTGTTCCTAAAATGTTTGCTAAGAAAATTCCCTGAATCAAAAGTCTGGACAGTTAACTAGTGTTTACAGCTTTTTACAAGATGAACATTTATAATGTGTAATGAAGTGTCATGAGTATAGAATAAAAGCTAGTCACGACAACTACACACAGAACTACCAAGTGCTGCACACCCAGGAAGAAAGCAGAATGATCTGAAAGCAGCAGAAACGCAAGGTGGCCATGCATATTGGTGTGAGGGTGAAAGGAATGGTATGACACACCTCACTGCAGCATTTCTGGAAGTGTCTCTCCTCCCCTTTCACTTCCCGTGACACTATCAGCAGAAACTCTGACTGCTGGGCCCGGCCACAGCCATACGGGGAACCTATACTGACAAGCTGCAACAATCAATCAGCAAAAAAAAAAAACCAAAAACAAAAAAACAAAAAAAAAAAAAAAACACACACCTTTGTAATGCTGGAGTATAACACTATCATCTGAACTGTACAAACAACAGAGAGGCTCCTGTGTATTCACTTGCTACTCAAACACAGTGTAATTATTTGTATTGTGCAGATATGAAAGCAACAGTTTTTTTAGTCCCCAGAATAGAATCCTATGTAATATATTTAAAATTCTTGCAGGTGGTTACAAAGCCAGTTATGATTTGAAGGGAAATGCCAATTTCTTATCAAAAAGTCTGAATGCAATAAGTCAGTAAACACTTACTGGATGTAGGGATAGAAAAGTTATGGGAGAAATTCTTCTTATTACAAGGGAACAGCATTGGTAATCCAATATATGTTCCCGAGGAAATATATAAAATATTTATACTCTTTTTCCTTTTACTTATAAGGATATGAGTCAATTTTAAAAAGGTTAATTTTACAAAGCACCAAGAAGGAACTCTCTTACACAGTGGGGCCAAGCTTGCTTCCATGAAGTCACTCAAAAATACTCAAAAATACTAGGCCCATAAATAGCAAGAATTTAAAAATGCTGAAGTTCAGGATGTTTTCAGTTAAATTTTGTAGTTTCTCGTTGGATGAATTGTCTTCATAATGTTCTGCAACACTCAATCCATGTGAAAGCATATGCATGCCAGTGCACTTGACAAGGATTATGGCAGTGGTTTTCAAACTTTTTGTACTGGTGACCCCTTTCACACAGCAAGCCTCTGAGTGCGACCTCCCTTATAAATTAATAACACTTTTTTATATATTTAACACCATTATAAATGCTGGATACAAAGCGGGGTTTGGGGTGGAGCCTCACAGCTCGCGACCTCCCCATGTAATAACCTCACAATCCCCTGAGGGGTTCCAACCCCCAGTTTGAGAACCCCTGGATTATGGCTTTAGATTAAATTTGAAGAGCTAGATACAAGCTACTGTGGGATAAGCAGGTGACTATTCAAATTACATACTCATTTAAGATAATACCAATGAGAGGTGCTGGTCCAAAGCTCTGATAGAGGATGTAATTTACTTTACAGTTTATATTATGTGAATAATTTTGAGGGAAACAGTTAAATACTGACTTTGTATAGTCAATCTACTTAAGAAGGCACTATTGGACCAGATTTCAGACTGTATTTATTGCTAATTTGTATGATGGACACAGCTTAAACAGAAAGAGTATGGACAATGCAAAATTATTTATAAAGTTTCTCATTTTGCATTGGATGATAAATATTTGGTTTCTGTGTTCTTCCAGAGGTGGAAATTAAGTCATTCTTGCTAAATCATTCTCTCCACTTGTATGTTTAAAGAAACAGGAAGGTAATTCAGCAGTACAAAACCACATTACTTCTGTGCTAGGGAAAGGGTTGGAAGTTAATATGTGTACTACTGATCCTTCAGTAGTACAAGTCACAAGAAAAACTCAACATTCAGAGAGATCTTTTAAAACCCAACAGACTGGGACAAATTCACATCTCGCCTAATGGATAAAAGTTTCAGCATGGAGAATGAATCTCCATCAAAAGACAGGTCACAAAGAAATGCACCAATAGACACTTCCAAGTACTTTGCTCTACTGGAAAACAATTCCTAGAGGTAGTTTGTGGAATGTGAACTAATGTAGAAATGTGGTTTGCTAGCACTGCTTTCGCTCAATAGTAGTTGAGCATCTTTAGATTCACCAGTCCCTGTAACTGGCCCAGAAGTCTGACCATTCTCTCTCCCCCTTTGATTATCAGCATTAGGATGATATTTTAAGATACCTTTTCAAGCATGTTAAGTGAAGAGGAAATATCTTTGACCCATTGATCAACTATCGATCAGGTGCAGAGCTAGATGGGATCCCAACCCACAGGAAGAGTATGACCCTGGAGAAGTAGATAACTGTGCATGGTTCTTACTGTACACCACAGGGCATATTGCATATTGGGCTGGGTACCATCTCAGAGGAGAGAGAGATTGCACTGAAGGGTCAAAGGGATTTCTCAGAAAAAGGTCACACCATCACCACTGTATTCCCTCTTGGAGATAAAAAGCTCAAAGGGAGACCTAGAGAATGTTAGAATCACACTGCAACTGGAGGGTTTCTGCTAACAGCAGATCTGCAATGCAATCAACAGAGAATCCTGCCAAGGGCCAACTATGTGCTGGTGGGAAACTTGGGTAACTGGATGACAGATTGCACACCTGTTGTGTCAATCAACCTTAAACCACACATCCAAAACATCGTGGAGAAGAGAAAAAATGAATTAAAAAGCAGGGAATTTAAAACCAATGGCATTTCCCAAAGAATGCCTAATTCAGAAGGAAATATTAATTCTTTGACAATGTAACTGCAAAATGCACCAGTGTTCAAGCATGCTAGTCCCAAAGAATGGAGAGGTAAAGTGGAAGCTGTAATATCCTCTTCTCCTTCAAAGAGAAAAGACTCTTTCTGCAAGAAACCAGAAACCAACTTCCTACAAAGAAGAATGTCCAGGGAACTTTGGATCAAGTGAAATCTAGCAGGTATATCTTCAGTATCTGGGCTGCAGAGAGGATCCTTATCACTTGAACTGGAGAACTGAATCATGAGAAGTCATCTGTGCAAGTTTACCTAGATTTTTTTCATCATGGCCACCAAACTGGGTGATCCGAACACCTTGCAAAAAGAGTGAACACAAAATGTCCTCTCATCTTCCTACTGCTTTTAGGGCTCATTTTGTTTTTTAAATATGACTGTTATTGAGGGAAGGTTGAGTTAAAGTAGGTTTTACATTTACTTAAATGGCACTAAGATTTGTAGTCATCTGGATCTCTTCCAGAAGTGAATTCCCAGAGCTGTAGACCAGTCACCAAGAAAGCTGTTTCTTAAGCACACAAATCTCACTCTGGGGTTGAGTTACATTGCTCCACTACTGGTAGATGTAGTGACCAGTTATGGTCCTGCAGGGTGAGGTGTTTCCTCAGAGAAAGGTCACACTGCAACCTTTAAAATGTGTTACTGACTCTAAAGTGCACTACAGAAAGTTATTTGTAGGCCGTGCAAATTAAGCTTATTTGTCCTAAGCAGAACAAGAACAGAAAACATTCATGGAGTTCACCTCCATTCTTTTGCACCACTGTTTTGATTTATTAGGTGCTAACAGTGTGCTTAGTACAAACATAGAAGCAGTTCAGATTTCAAAGCAAGGAACAGACTCATACCTTATCTGGTATTTTGATGTCCAGAACTGTTCCTACAATGTACAGTACTAATAATTTTTAGCAGATTAACTAGGTAGATTGTTTTAATGCTTATGAAAAGTGCCATATGAGAGCTCTGGTTTCCAAAGCTGTCATTTTTATCCTTAGACGTTAACACGGCCAAGGCAGTTGCATTAAAAGGTTCCCCCATATTGTTCCCTCAAGTGTGTCTCAGCCCTGTTCTGGAAGGGCCATCTGTAGGGCACAAGAAACATCTAATCCCTTTCACCAGAAGATTTGTACCATGCTCATCACTAGTATAAACTCATAAGAGCTGTGTGATGCAGACATCTACATATACGAGAATTGAATTGAGATGACTGAAGAACTAGAACATTAATTTTCAGTTACAAATTGGCATGCAGATTTCAATATGAATTCCATTCCCAATCTCTTGAGCAATTCACTCCTCAATAATCATTAAATTTCTTTAAGGCATGTATATAGAAAACAGTTTCTAATACATAAAACTTTAAAATTTCTCATCATGAACGTGACTCGGCAGTTTATATCAAGACAAATCAATGAAGTCCTCTGTTTATCTTGTTACCTGTTCAAATTTCCAGCCATCTGACATGGTGGAGACCATTTGGGTGAGCTCCTCCTCCTGACACTGCAGCACCCTGTACACGTGTTTGACTGGCACCTTAAGGAAGAAACATCAGACACTCAATACAGCATGGAGTATTCAACAGTGCGTACTATTGCTGGGATTTCCTCATTCCTTTAAAAAGATATTAAGCAACAAAGACATTCTGAACACCAGAGGATCAGTGGGGGCTCTAGCTAAGTCACTGGGTTTGGTACTTTTGGCATCTAATGAAGCGTTTGCAATGTTCTTCCTCTCAGTTCTTAACTGAGACCAGAGTCTCCAGCCAATAGCATTCCAGTTACACGGCCCAACATAACGTACATAAAGGAACACTTTTTGGAAGTGATGCATTTTCTTTTGCTTGTTCAGATTTTGTCCATTCATTACCCTTTCAGAATAATCTTATTAAGACTTGAAACATTTCACAAACATTTCAGGCACTAAAACTCCTGAAACTACAAAAATCAGTGGTATCCTAGAGAACGATACCCCTTTGAAAGTACCTACTTCTGGGGGAATACTGCGCCACTGTGCAATGCAGAATTTTGCAGAAATTAATGTTGTGTGTACAGAATTTCCTTCCCACAAGAAATGGGCTGCAGAGATGTTGGCTGCCAGTAGGGGCTGCTGGACCTGGCAGAGCCCAGCTCACAAGTACAGTAACTCCTCACTTAAAGTCGCCCTGCTTAATGTTGTTTCGTTGCTGATCAACTAGGGAACATACTCATTTAAAGTTGTGCTATGCTCCACTCTTACGTTGTTTGGCTGTCTGCTTTCTCCACAGCTGGCAGTCTCCCTACACCCCCCTCCCCCCAGTGCCTCCCATCTGCTGGCAGACCCCCTGGATCAGCGCCTTCCCCCTCCTCCCCCTGCCTCCTGCCCGCGGCAATCAGTTGGCTTGCGGCGTTTTGGAGGCAGGAGGGAAGGGGGAGGAGGAGGAGCAAGGACTCGGCGCGCAGGCTCACCCTCCCTCCCCTGCCTCAAGCCTTGAATGCCACAAGCCAGCTGATTGCCCCGGGCAGGAGGTGGGGGGAGGGGGAGAGCCTGTGCCAAGGCCTCGCTCCTCCCCCCTCCCTCCCAAATGCCGCAAGCCAGCTGATTGCCCCAGGCAGGGGGCAGGAGCGAGGACTCGGCGCGCATCCCCCCTCCCTCCCCTGCCTTCCGAACGCAGCAATCAGCTGGCTTGCGGCGTTTAGAAGGGAGGGCAGGAAGGGGGGAGGAGCCAGGACGCAGCGTGTGAAGTGAAGGGGGAGGAGCCGCGCTCCCAGCGCTGTAAGCTAATCCCCTCGTGGAGGTGGAGTACCTGCAGCGCTGGGAGAGCTCTCTCCTGGTGCTGGCGCGCGACCACACTCGCACTTCAAAGCGCTGCTGTGAGAGCGCTCCCGCGGCAGCGCTTTGAAGTTTCGAGTGTAGCCACGGCCTTAGTCAGCAGAGCTGAAGCCACTATGCAGACAGCCACAGTCCCAAATCTTGTTAGGGAAATGGTGAGTGAAAAAAGCACCCACTCAACATCAGCAGGGGTGTGAATGACTGACATTAACAAGAACCAGTTTCACTTCTTATGTCAGAATTAGGAAGGTGCGTTAGGAAAGCGCCTCACCTGTGAGATTTTGCTGTCTCTCTCTCTTATTTTGTCCTTTACCAATTTTATTAGTGATGTGATGTTGTAGAATTCAGCTTCTTCCAGTACACCTGGTATGAGAAGAAACAATTATGCTTGAAAAGATAGTGTAACTAAAGACTGCAGGCCAAGGATTCCTAGCCAGTTTCTGGGAGGATCTCCTTCACTGCATGGGAAACAGTTTGCTTCATGAGCAGCTGCTTGAACAAGATGAATGGGTCTGACTTCCTTCACTCACCTGTAATTCAAGGTTTAATTCATTCTGAAGAACTGTCCTAGAACCAAACCCAGAAAAACTTTACAAGGCCATTTCAGGGAACTTATTCTAGGCTCAAAGAGCAAACATAATTAATGAAGTGTTTTTAAAGCGACACACACACTTTTAGAAATGTCCCAATAAAAAAAGTTGAGTTTCTAATAGAGTATCCCTTAAACACAGAAACACAATAAATGTCATTCCAGATCAGACCAGGGTTCATCTAAATCCAGTCTGTGAACAGTCCCAGTTGCTTCAGAGAAAGGTCCAAAAATTCTGCAGAAGGCAGCTATGGAATAACCAGGCCACAGGGAAAGCTTCTTCCTAACTGCCATTAGTTAGAGATTGTCTTATGCCCCAAAGTTGCTCACAGAGGCCTTTTTTCTTGGCTGCCAACACCACAGAGTGCTGACCATTCTCACTTTCAGCATTCTCTGCTTTCTGCCTCATATTGAGCATGTGTGTTTCACAATATTTTCCCAAGTTTAAATTTGGTTATTTCCTACTCATGTTCCTAACCTCTCTAGTTTCCTTTTGTATCATCTCTCAGTCCTCCCATCTCCTCTCTATTTAGTTTCAATAACATAAGATTCAATCAATGCATGCACAACTGGTTAACCTGGATGATACCAGAAAATTCACAGGGAAGCTTAGAATTGCCCCTGTTGGTGAAGGACTTAATTTCTGGCAAGTGCAAATACTATCATCAGGTAATTAAAAGTAATGAGATGAAAAGTAGAATAGCTTTCAAAGGAGGTGATGGGAATCCCATTGCTTAGGATACTTAACACTAGACTGGGACAAATTCCTAGAAGGGAGACAGAACAATTCTGCAGTGGCCCCCTCTTGGGGATAGACAGATGATATACATTTTCTAACTTCTGTGACTATTTCTGACCAGTCCAAGACCATACAGTTCTGGTGTGCAAGACTTGGGAGAATTGACTGGAGCCTCTGTATTGATGGTACATTAGTGGCTGGGAGATCATTCATGTAACACAGTTGGGAGTGCCCCTGCCTGTGGGTGTCTGTTAATTGCAGTGCCAGTCAGAGTTGTATGGTTTGACACAGCATCACAGTGAGAGCGTGATACCCCAAGTTGGGAGGACAGAGGGCACAGCAGTGCCACAGTCCAGGTTGCATCCCATCACATGGATATGAATCGGGGCCCATGAAGGAGTGGATTCAGAAAGAGTGTCCCCTAACTGGTGTAGTCCGCATCTCAGAAGATCCCAGCCCTCACTGTTTTTTTCTTGCTTTACATCTTCAACACCTCATTTCACAGCTATCCTTAAGAATACTGGAAGGGTCTTTCTTCCAAGACCATCAGTACAGTAGGAAAGAGGTAGGGCTGTCACTGTTAAGTGATACAAGGCACCTAACTACCAAGACTGAATGTGCGCCTCCTAACAGTGTTTCCAGTTCACGGTGTGAGGTCAAGAATCAAACTCAGGTCTGTGGACAGCTCTAACCAACCTTAAGCTACTCAGTTTTGTCTGAGGCAGGGTACAATGCTGTAGAGATTTGTCTGCAGTGTAACTCAAAGGATGAAAATGGAAATTGATTTAATAAAACCTTCCTTCTACAGGCAAGCCCACTTCTCTTTTGTGGTTTTCACAGCAATTACAATATTGAGAAAGAGGACAGTAAACAAGGGATTAGGTTTAAGTCCTACCTTCCTCAGCTAGGTCCTTGTTAATAACGAGTTTTCCATGTCGGAGATAGTTCAGTACTGGCCCAAAGTAGGTCGGGTCTCTGTCTATTAAATAGGCACCTGTTTCATCCTGTTAAAAAAAAAAAAAAAAAAAAAAGCAGCCAAGAAAACTCAGTGGATTAAATGCCCAATAGACTGGTGTGCTCAGTCAGATCTACAGTTACCCAGTTACGTTACATTAGAGCAGGGTTCTCACAAGAAATGTTTTGGTGGCCTCAGAGTGTAGCCACCAACTAGCGCTGGTGGCTGCTGTGACAATTTTTCCTAAAATACTCAATTACTTAAGGAAAAACAAATAAATATGCACATACATATGTCCATATCATTGTAATTTATTTATGTTGGGTTTTTTCCACAGACTCAATAATAAAAATAATGTAGTTTTCTCTGTTCTTCACTGGACCTAAACAGAATTGAAACAAATAAAGTGTTTTCCATGTTCTTGTCCCAACATGTTTTGTTGTTGTTTCTTTTGCTTTTTTTTGGTTGCTTATTTGTTTAAGCCTTGATAGTTAGTAAGTCTGTTTCTGTGAAAAGTGATATTTGTATTTTGTTAATATCACTTTTCACAGCAGCAGACTTGCTAGCTAGCAGGGAGGCAGTGAAAAGTGATATTAACAAACATACAAATATCACTTTTCAGAACAGACTTACTCAGCCCTGGCAAGCTGGGGGACAAATTAAGCCCTGGATGGGAAGGTGGGTATGGAGGCAGCTGGGGGTCAGGAGTGATGGGGGGAGGGGAGTCTGGAGACCGAGCCCTGCAGCTGCGCAGCCAGGGACTGAGGCCGGAGGATGCAGTGGGGCCAGGGGCGATGCGTGTGTGTGGGCGGAGGGAGGGAGCCGGTAGTCACTGGGGCTGTATCACGTGGCCCCACAGCTAGAGTCTGAAACCCTGAGCCTGGGGTCAGGGCTTAAAGCCTGCTGCCATACAGCTCGCGCCAGCTGCCTGCCACCGCAGGGCTGAAGCCCAAGCCCCACCGCCTGCCTGCTCCTCCAGTGTTTGTGGCTCCAGAGGGGGACAGGGCCCAACCCCTGCTGGCAGCCCTGGGGGAGGGGCCACTGCTTTGCCCCCTGCCTCACCACCCAGAAGACTGTGGCCACACAAAAAGCCCCTGATGGCCACATTTGAGAAACGCTGCATTAGGGACTTGTCACGGTTAAGACAGTCCCTTTAATCTCACTGGTTCCTCCTCCACTGAGAGACAAAAAGAATTAAAATCAGAGTTAAAAGTTCACACTGACAAACATAAGATCACTGTAGGTATAAAACACTCAAACTTTTCAAAGTTAAAATAAAATATCAGTTGAGGTTAAAAAGCAATGCTTGAAAGCCAGAATGTTGCTCTAGTAGCTCAAAGAAACAGAACAACAAAGGCTAGAAATGGTACCAACATGAACTCATTTCCTTTGTTCAAACTTAACCACAGAGAGAACCCTACTAGTAGTACTCCTGGGGGAATTCTGCGCCACTGCGCAAGCGCAGAATTCATGTCTCCTGTAGAACCCCCCCCAATACATTATGCTGGAGGTGCTGCAATTACAGCTTCCGCCCACTAGGAGCAGCCAATTATAGAGAGGAAGAGGGTAGAGGCCAGGTGAGGAGGCACAGGATAAAAGGACGGACAAAACAGGGCACACGCGGTTGCTGGGGGGAGGTCACATAGACTGAAGTTCAGGACTAGTGTGGGGGGGACAGACTTGGGTAGGGGCAAAGGAGCTGACAGATTTGAGCCAGGGGCTGAACGTGAGGGGGATGCAGGGACAAAAGGGGACAGGGACAGATATGCCTGACTGAATGGGAGAATTTTTAATTTTTTGGTGCAGAATTCCCCCCGGAGTAGTGTGGGAACGAAAAACAAACCCTCCCCCCCCCCAGGCCTTTAACTGCATATATAATTTACAATAGAGCAGTTTAATCTTTTGTTGTAGGACGATATATCTAAAACCCCTCCTTCCAGCCTTTTTCAGGTACATGGGGTAGACTGAGGAAAGGTTGCTTGTGAACTACATTCAGGGAGCAATCTGAACGATGTGGCCTATGATCCATGTAGTCCCATGAGGACCAGGTCACCAGCCTATAATTAATGTTTGGATTAAATGTTTACAGTATGGCCTGTAGTGTTCTGTGGGATAGCGAACAAAGCTTGAGAATTTCACTTGCAGAGACATTAGGAAACATTGACTATAACAGGGGTCTAAAAAGAACTAGATCAGTTCATGGAGGATCGGTCCATCAATGGCTATTAGCCAGGATGGGCAGGGATGGTGTCCCTAGCCTCTGTTTGCCAGAAGCTGGGAACGGGCGGCAGAGGATGCATCACTTGATGATTCCCTGTTCTGTTCATTCCCTCTGGGGCACCTGGCATTGGCCACTGTCGGAAGACAGGATACTGGGCTAGATGGACCTTTGATCTGGCCCAGTATGGCCGTTCTTATGTTCTTATTCTCAGTCAGAGGACTACGGAGGCCTGAATCAATACTTCCAGAATTTAAGTTTCCATTTTAAAAGATAGCATCCCAAATATGAATCCATGTGATCAATGTGGTGTTGCTTTCCCAAGTCAGCAGACAGCTCCAATGCTTTAAGCAGCATGGTGAGGTTAACAAAACCGGTATGCATTTAGATAAAACTTATCCATATTAATAAAATCCAAGAGAAACATCTGATGAATGAGTAACAGCAAGCTATAAACATGCCCAATAAAAATTAAATTGACTAAAATAGGACATGATCATGGTATGTGTTATAGATGGTGTATAGACGGTAGAGCAGGTAAGTATTCACTCTCACTCAATACAAGGGGGGGGCACGAAACCATCAGGGAGAAAGTTTTAAAATGATAAGAGGGAGCACTTTAAAAAAACAACAACCTACACAATGCATAGTCTTTGGAACTCATTGCCACAATACATCATCGAGACCAAGAGCTTAGTGATTAGACATACATACAGATAATAAGCACACCAACAATGATATAGAATTAAAAACCTCATGAGTTTGGAGGGCTTCAGTTTTGTGGAACATTGGTTCATCGTCCATGGGGAGAGGGGGCTGTATAGCTTGGATGGCCTCCACCTCAGTGGAAGAGGGACAAATCTCCTTAGGGACAATTTGGCAAGAATAGTCAGGAGAGGAGTTAAACTAATAGCAAAAGTGAAGGGATTAAAATAACATGTAAAGTTCATTTTAATTCAACTAGTACAATACAGCAAGATTTACTGTTTGTAGGCCTTTCTATGTACGTCAACCGTGATTTTTATAGCATCTATAATCCCTCAGGTTTCGGATCTACAAAGTTTGTTCCAACTGTTGTCATCCTCACTCAGGATGGATCAAAAAATTTATGATTTTTTTTTTTAAATTGTTGAATTTAATTTGAATACAGATTTGTTAAAAGCAAACCTATTTAAAATTAGATTGTCAATATCAAATTTATTTTAAGGCCTAACTCTAGTCTATTAAAATCATTTAAATTAAATTAAAAACATTAAGAGGTGTAGCTATAAAAACTAAGAATTTGAATAAATTTAAGTTAAACTATGTAAGTGCTTAAATAAATGTGTATAAATATACTGTATCCTCCTGGTTTGCAAAAAGAAGCACCAAATTCAGCGTAAAGGCTGTATTTATTTCAAATCAGCTTGTTTTAATGGTTATGAGGCTCAACTTTTCTTTAGGAAAATAACTAAAAGGTACAAACGCAGAACATGTTTAAAATCAGTGATTTAACAAAGGTTTTCTGCTTGCTGATTTAAATAATGATTAAAATTGATGATAGTCACTCTTCATAAACTAAAAAGCCAGAAGGGATAATTGTGATAATCTAGTCTGTCCTCCAGTGTAACACAGGCCAGAAGACTTCCCTGAGTTATTCCTGCCTGAATTAGAGCATATCTTTTAGGAAAATATACAGTGTTGATTTAAAAACTGTCAGTGATGGATAATCCACCATAACCCTTGATAAATTGTTCCAATGGTTAATTACCCTCACTGTCAAAAATGTATGCCTCATTTCCAGTCCGAATTTGCCTAGCTTCAGCTTTCAGCCATTGGATTGTGTTCATTTCTAAATATTTGTTCCTCATGTAGATATTTTTAGACTATGATCAAGTCATCTCTTAATCTTCCCTATTTCTCCCTGTGAGTTAATACACTGCCCAGCACAATGGGGTTCTGATCCTGACTGTACTGTACTAGTGCCAAAAGATATCAATTATTAATTATAATAAAAAGCTTAATGCAACAAAGTTGTAGAGTAAAATGAAAGTCAGGAAATGCAAGAGTTAAAGATAACAGCTACAGTCATAAGGCTACTTTGCATGTGAAGATTTTCTATTAAGGGGGCTAAATGAGTGGCCTGGTTACCCAGCAGTTCCTTTTGAAGTCAATGACCTCCCTGGGAATTGCTAGCACTCAGTATTTTTGAAGTTGTACAACAGCTACCCTATAGAACTGGGATCTTATCGCTCCTCAGGAAAGGAACTGTGTCCTCATGTGTGTTTGTATGGCACCTAGCACACTGGTTACCACATTACAAATAGCCACTCCCCCAAACAGCAAATGGAGTGAAAGTGGATCTTGGTTTATCCTTAGACCTAAGGATTGGATTAGGGAGAGGACTGACAACATTTGCATTTTTCCTATTCTCTCAATTGAGCTGCACTTGATAAATGCCCTGGGTACAGTATGTGGTAGAAAAGCCAATTAGTAGAACTTTGTGCTGCTGCTGATCCTCTGATAGAGAAGCAAAGATTCTTCCTGCAGGCTGGCCTGATGGATATATGAGAGTAAAAACTGAAGTTTAGAGATACAAACCAACCCCATGGCTTTAAAAATGCAGTTACTGGGGCTAAGGTCCTCAAGCTGAACATGAACTCATGAATAAATATGCTGAGTGCTCTCAAGTCAAGAAAGGGGGTAAAAACCCTTGTCATCTCTGGGATAAAAAATAAATGGGAATCAAATCCCAACATATTAAGCAACAAAGAGTTGCCAACAGAACTCCACTGGCCATCACCTACAGTCCTCAACTAAAACCTCTCCAACACATCATCAGTGATCTACAA